TAAACTTCCGGCCTATTTCACCTCCATGTATTATTGAAAAACATGACGCATTCTTGTAATCAATTCAAAATAAAGTTCCTTGGATTGGGTGTACCACGGGACTGTAGTAGAGGTGTGTTACTCTTAAACAGTTTGATATCTGCTTCTAACAAATCTCTACACAAAAGAAAATATACATGGTACCATATTGAATTGCATGTATGTGCCTTCACAATTTACATTAGATTTAACATCTTTATAATAAGGATATGTTTCACAAGGCAATCATAGCCATACATATCAGCCATTGAACGAACTTAGACAGAATCAATTAAAAACCTGATATACCGATAAAACAGCTTAACATTATAGCTACCTATGAAAGGGGCCCAACGCCAAGTAATACCAGAGATTAAGATGTATTTTGGGCCTTCCTCGTGATGATTTTTGTTATACATTCCAATATGTCATCCAGTGACTAATGTAACTATACGTCTTAATTCAAAGAAAAACATTTCTCGTTCATAATTAATTTCTCTATCTTTTCCTACAACGAAATTAACATGGACAGCTTTCCATCACGCTGTATGATAAACGTGATGATTTCATTTGCCATATTGTGAATTTTCCATTTCTAGAAGGCAATATCCTTGCATCTTTATTCTATGGTATTCGATATTCAAGGGCCTGTTCCCCATTTTCGTGATTTTCGTGCAAGAAGTCGTCAACTGGCTGACAACTCGTAACACAAGGGTTCAAAAGATCGGGTTGATGAAAATCGTGGGGATGTTTTTATAGTCGCCAATAGTGATAGTGAGAAATTTTGTATTTGACGCTCGTTCGTTTGCCTGTTGGTTCCGTTGTTGTATGCCTTGCTCTCATTTGAGAACTAGACATAACTTACTTTGGTTGGCCAAGATTAACATTGCTGGTGTCGTCGATGAAGCAGAAGACGCTTACTTGCTCATGTCCAGCCACAAATGCCAGAAGTTGGTATAAACAACTAATACCGTATAAATAAACAGTCGCATTACCTTTTCGCCGATGATATGAAGGTCTCGTCAGTTTCATTTGAAATCCACAGTAAATTCAACTTTCTCTCTTGTTATAGCGTTGCTACCTCGGGACAAGGGCGGGTTTCCAAGAATATTTCGTTTCATGATGCCAGTCCCGTGTCCAGCGACAAAGTAAAACATGCCTTAAGACACAATGTAAACGATTATTCATCCAGGGGTAGGCCATTCTCGACGCGCATAACAGTCTCTGTTGATGTGGAACATTTCTGTTTTTGGTAGTGAGTATCCCTAGTGTAATTTTATGTATCCTTACAGCAGTTTTGCTGTTGTATAGCTGAATCTATAGGGTATTTTTCATAATCCACACTGCATTCGATTTTTAAACGAATTTCGGAATATTTCTATATTGGAAAACATCGTCTGACTTAGTACGACATCCGTTGTCATAGATGAGTGTACAAGGGTGTCAACCTGAATAATTTCAACGTGAAATGATAAAATAACCATATTTTCCATACAGAAATTACCGTCACATGTCCCATGACTTTAATTTGATTGTCCATTAAGTGACAAACCATGAAAACTATGCAGATGGACAGTAGTTTTTGAATGGTTTAAACAATGCTCGTTCAGCTTAATTTAGAGGTTGCACTTTGATGGGAGAGATTGCCCGCGACCCAGAGGTGGAGACCAGGTAATAAAGACGGTCAAACGACTGCATGCTTGTGTAGAGATGTTGCTATCAAGAAATGAAACTATCACCAAGGAGAAATTTAAATCGTTGCATTTATCATACAGCTTGGTAAAAAAACACAATCATGCAATAGATTATCGTAGTTATGCCAATAGTCTTGGTGAAGCTGTTACCACTAAAACCGACGAAGGTGTTGACAATGATGTCCTCCTCTGTATACCTTTCTCTGATTTGGACGTATAGTTCCCGAAAAACGCTTCCGTATAGTTGGCAAATCATACATTTGTAACACCGTTCACCTTTCTTGAAAAAAAGCTTTCATAACAAGAGAACAACGATGTTCTGTCTGTTTAGAACGGTTATGCCTGTGCATAGAATGGGAAAAAAAATAAACGTATCTATAGAGGATATTTTAGAGGAGAGGCTGAAAGATTGGTCAAAAACTCGTTTGAGGTCTTTAAAATCCACATACCTTAATGACCCTACAGACATAAAGTTATATATATACTGATAACCAGTTTTAAGTATTTTTATAATGATACTAATTTTTATGTTAATGACCTTAACCACGACACAACAACTGATCTGAATAAATCTTGATTAGATTAGATAATCAGGCCACATGTGGACATTCTACCAGACATGTTTTTTTTTCGAAATGTAAGCTGTTGAATTATATTCCAGCTTGTCCGGAGTTATCTCCCTTAACTGTTTAACTTATATTGAATACGATCAAATGGCTGATGATGAGCTCACTTTGATAAAAAAAAGTCATTATCACCATAATATACTGTTAATTTTTAAAATCATATTAACATGTATTCCTTCTGTAGGCTACAATAGGTTCAATAAATGATGTAAATATCGTAAGTGTCACATTAAAATATAATGATATTTTCCAAACTGGCAATAAAACGTCAGGGAGTTAGACACTTACGATACGGTGATACATACATACTTATGAATAATAACTACCAGTCTATTTGTAATAATAATAATAAACATACAGTATTTTGATTAGTTTCACGGTCTATTTCGCTGTTTAAACATTAATTCATTCTTAATTATTTTAATTATGTAAACTAGATACCGATGCATCTATATTAGAATTACTAATTTTAATGATTACAATTTCGCATTGTAAAATAAATCTCTAATGTGATCTATGGAAGTGAAACAGGGAATATGCATTAGCTGTCCGCTTGATTCAATTGACCTTCTTTATGAAAACATATCTAAGACAGAATCCTATTTTCCCTTTTCACACTACAATACTGCTGTTTTAGCGGCTTTTCTTATAAACGGATATTACGTAATCACCATAGGGTAGTGCAAATCGAGCGGTCTGACTCATTCCCTAACAAACACTCAAAAACCGTTAATTTTTTTTTTTTATAAATCGAAATTTTTCATGTTTTTGTCCTTCAGTGTCAGTTGCAGATATACGATTCATTAACGCATGCGCAGAGTATAAACTGCACTTGTGTAAATATATCTCTGGCGATAACACAGTGACAGAGATTACAGTTTTATTTGAAAACCTAGAAAAAATATTAGCGTTCTGTTGTACTGTGACTTTTTAGTGGCTGTGAAGGCCTGCCCTAAAGTATTCATGTTCAGGTAGAAGCGACGCATATGTTTTTAACGATTTGTGATTTACTATACTGGAATATCCGGACCGATTTGGATCTAAACTTAACTCTAACAGGTAAGTACTAATATAAACTACACTCATTGCTTTAAAATGTTTTTAAAATAACTTTTACTAAAATACCATACACGTAATTGCTTTTTCTATGAGAAACAGCTAAACATAATCTACATTTAACGTCTTTTAAATATGAGGCTAGAGCCGTTGAAAACAACACAACCGTGGTCTTATTGTTGTCAACTCAAATAAAAGTATGTGTACATTGTAATCTGATGCCTATGTCGCCAGTATTTTTCATTAAATATACTCGGTTAAAACCCGGTGTTTGTATTTCTATATTTGCATTGAAAAGATGGGATGCATTTATTCGTTGAATGTCGATATTTACTTAGAATGGTTAATCGCTAGTTTTTCGTTGTCACACGAAATATATGAAAACATTGTTTATACCCGGTTGTAACTAAAAACAACACCAGAATATAATTAATTTTATATAAAAATACTTAACAATCGTGAGAGAAGCTATATGAGTGGTTAAACAGTATAGTGTATCATTAGGACTTTCTATTGAGTTATCATTATACGTAATGGTCGCTGTTGTGCTGTTTATTCTGTATAGTGAGTTTAAAAAAAAATCTTAATAAATGCCTTTATCTAAAACGCTCTCGTTAATATTTTTTTACCATTTAGACGATGATCTGTTACCGTAAGAACAACATATTCAAAAGGGAAGGGCATTCTTAAATTAATTCTCGAGCTTTGATTTCTGTGAACGATTTCTCATTTTTGATTTTGCACTACATCGTACTGCATTGTGTCACGCTGTTATTGTATCACAGTAAAAATCAAAGCAAGATTAGTTGTTGTCATGGATTTTGTGAAAATTCAAAAAATTGCTGTAGATTATGCTGGAGAGTAACCTATCCATATATATGTACACAAAAGCTTCGGTAATTGAAACAAAAAATAAATTAACATACTCTAATGATTGCTATGGAAGTGACGTATGCATAGTCACGAACGTACTCTCGAAGTAGGTAAAACAGTTGAACAAACATATTCGGGTCATAGGTCAGTCTTTTATTTTTTTAAACTTTTTTACAATTGTACTCGGAAATTATATATGGGGTTCATATATATATCACCAATTATATAAATATTGAAATCTCAAACGAGATAAATATACTTTAGTATTTAGAAAACATGTTTAAGAAAGAAGAGAACTTCGGAGATTTTAGAATTAATTATAACCTTAAAGGTTTTACTTTTTCACATGAGTGTATATGTAAACACGTGTGAGTGTGTGTGGAGGGGGAGGGTGTGTGTTGGGGGTATGTGTGAGGGGGGTGAGGAAGTGGGGGTGTGTGTGTGTGTGTGTGTGTGTGTTTGTGAGGGTGTGTATATGGGGGGGGGGGTAGTATGTGTTTGCGGGGGTGTAGGTGTGTGTGGGGTGGGGGGGGGGTGGGGGTGGGGTGTAGGTGATGGTTGGGGGGGGGGGGTGAGGATGTGGGAGGGAGGGGAAAGAGCTGTAGAATTTTAAATCGAATTAATAGATTGATGAATCGACTTTAATTTGATTACCAAAATACGACAGAAAGAGCAAAAGCAAACAAATATTTATAAGCGGTTATACACTATAAATGGATATGTTCACAGTATAATGGCTGTTCAGCTCACCGACATCAAAATCAAGAATGATGACGTCAGCAACCATGTGACCGAAATCGGCGGACATCATAGCAGATCGAATGTACCGTTGGATAATAAAGGATTTGAACCGGATGATGGGAAGGTTGGTATTCGGTGATGTATATAGAATAGAAAAATATCGAACGAAATCAAAGAAAATGGAAAAAAGGGAAGGACATTTCGCCAAAGAGCATAGAGAATAAATGGCGAGGAAATGCGAATTTCACATAGAGCATACGGAGTACTTCCACATTCTAGGATAACTACAACTGATAGAATATATTTTCATCAATTGGAATATATAGATAAATGAAGTATGTTCATGAATTTGATACAGATGTATGCATAGCCATCTAACAGACAAACTTGCGACTCTTGCTACGGAAACAAGTTATCTAGCCGAGTAAAAAAAAGATTGAATGGAAAATGAATAAAGGCAGAAACGACTATGGATGTTAAAAAACACCACCAGCTCGACATACACAAAAAAGGAAGATTGTTTAAGGATTAACGTTTACGCTAAATTTATCTCGTTCTCCATTCCATTTATGAACTCAAAAAACTAAACAAAATCAAATTTGAATACTTATTTTTACAATATTTTCTTTTTACTTTAAAAGTAATGAAAATTCAGATATATGAAATTAATCATAGATGTAGGCGTTTGCAGGTATCTGGACGTTATCTCCATCTTAAACGGAACAGCTATTGACAAAGCCGTTGAGAAACAGCTAAGTCCCGCCCTTTTTCTCGTAAACAATAACAGAAAATAGTTCCTGCATTTCAAACATATTTATTTCAGATAAACAACTCTGTTTTATATTTTTAAAAATTTACATAAATTCATATTATCTTTTTTAATAGATAATCAGTCAGTATTATATGACTCGGCAGTTTTAAGAAATTATCCGATTGCGGATGGAATACACTATACATGTGTGACGCGGTCAACGGCGTGAACTAGGCTAGTAAATCGACAGCGTGGACCTAACATAAACACTGTTAAAATTGAATGTGCAGTTTTGGAAAGTACTGATGGTAAGCACCCCAGTTTGGACTGATGACATGAACGATGTCGAGGTATCGTTTGTCGGCCTAGTTACAGTTGATGTGACGTTATGGTTGGGATTGGGATAGAAACGAGAAATCTGACCTACATTTCTCGGGACAACGTAGCGTGCCATGGTCAGCTGATGGTTGGTCAGCACCGTGCCAGTGACTTGACCAAGTGAGCAGACGACAACAAACGCGCAGTTTTCTTTCTTAATCTTTCGTTTAAAATTGCCTTTTTTCATTAAATGTGCATAAATTATCAAAATCAATGAACACAGCAACAACAATTAAATTAAAATGTTTAATACTGATGTCTCGTTACTTCGATAGTCTGGTCTACATGCCGGAACGTTTGTAAACATAGACACGTGGTTTTCAATGTTGACTGTTTACATATATTCATGCGCGGTGATGAGGCTCACGTTCCAGACCAAAGTTATTGGGTTATAAACTGTAGTGTCTCCTGGTTAGTTTATCGAGGGGCAAACAGTGGAAATTGTAAATATAATGCGATAATGAAATATTGACTGCATTGAATATTTATATATGCGCATCATTTGTTAAAATAGAAAAAAAAAGTTCCTACAACAACAAAAAGATACATATTTGAGCCAAGAATCCATGTATATATATATATATATGTTCAGCTCAAATTAAAAAAAAAACAAAGTTTATGACTATTTGCCTAAATGTTGGGTAGCTTTTTGTCACGAGAGGTACTTAAAGATATTTCCCTTCTACTTGATAAACCCCTCTGTACACACGAAACATTTTGCTTGTGGTGTTGTCGTTTAGGTTTCTTCCTATTTCAATCTGCTTAAAGACATTGCAAGTTCATACTAGACGACTATAAATTAAATGCTACTATGGAAACAAACACACACATTCGGATCACGTGAGCCTAATGTAAACATATGGTTATATATTTCTAGTGCAGTGGTAAATATGAAAATGTTAACACATAAAAAAACATGAAATTTATTTGCTGACAAATGGAAGATATATTTCTTTTGATTTGTCTTCTCTGGAAGACTTCAAGGTTACGAGGTTAAAAAGTTCTATAAAGATTTATAGTATAACCCTGTCACCGCCTTTTCAGTGGAATTATATTTCATCTGCCAGATTTATATTAAAACCATACAACGTGTACCACCTGCTTTGTGTGGAGGTTATATTTATTTCCCCGACTCGTACTATTACCGTGTTATCGGCCATTTTGTGTGGAGGTTACATTTATTTACCCGACTCGTATTATAACCGTGTTATCGGCTATTTTGTGTGGAGGTAGTATTTATCTACCCTATTCATATTATAACCGTGTTATCGGCTATTTTGTGTGGAGGTAGTATTTATTTACCCTATTCATATTATAACCGTGTTATCGGCTATTTTGTGTGGAGGTTACATTTATTTACCTGACTCGTATTATAACCGTGTTATCGGCTATTTTGTGTGGAGGTAGTATTTATTTACCATATTCATATTATAACCGTGTTATCGGCTATTTTGTGTGGAGGTTAAATTTATTTACCCTATTCATATTATAACCGTGTTATCGGCTATTTTGTGTGGAGGTTACATTTATTTACCCGACTCGTATTATAACCGTGTTATCGGCTATTTTGTGTGGAGGTAGTATTTATTTACCCTATTCATATTATAACCGTGTTATCGGCTATTTTGTGTGGAGGTTACATTTATTTACCCGACTCGTATTATAACCGTGTTATCGGCTATTTTGTGTGGAGGTAGTATTTATTTACCCTATTCATATTATAACCGTGTTATCGGCTATTTTGTGTGGAGGTTACATTTATTTACCCTATTCATATTATAACCGTGTTATCGGCTATTTTGTGTGGAGGTAGTATTTATTTACCCTATTCATATTATAACCGTGTTATCGGCTATTTTGTGTGGAGGTAGTATTTATTTACCCTATTCATATTATAACCGTGTTATCGGCTATTTTGTGTGGAGGTTACATTTATTTACCCGACTCGTATAACCGTGTTATCGGCTATTTTGTGTGGAGGTAGTATTTATCTACCATATTCATATTATAACCGTGTTATCGGCTATTTTGTGTGGAGGTTACATTTATTTACCAGACTCGTATTATAACCTCGTTATCTGCTATTTTGTGTGGAGGTAGTATTTATTTACCCTATTCATATTATCGTATTATAACCGTGTTATCGGCTATTTTGTGTGGAGGTAGTATTTATCTACCATATTCATATTATAACCGTGTTATCGGCTATTTTGTGTGGAGGTAGTATTTATTTACCCTATTCATATTATAACCGTGTTATCGGCTATTTTGTGTGGAGGTTAAATTTATTTACCTGACTCGTATTATAACCTTGTTATCGGCTATTTTGTGTGGAGGTAGTATTTATTTACCCTATTCATATTATAACCGTGTTATCGGCTATTTTGTGTGGAGGTAGTATTTATTTACCCTATTCATATTATAACCGTGTTATCGGCTATTTTGTGTTGAGGTAGTATTTATCTACCCTACTCATATTATAACCGTGTTATCGGCTATTTTGTGTGGAGGTAGTATTTATTTACCCTATTCATATTATAACCGTGTTATCGGCTATTTTGTGTGGAGGTAGTATTTATTTACCCTATTCATATTATAACCGTGTTATCGGCTATTTTGTGTGCTATTTTGTGCGGAGGTACATTTATTTACCCTATTCATATTATAACCGTGTTATCGGCTATTTTGTGTGGAGGTAGTATTTATTTACCCTATTCATATTATAACCGTGTTATCGGCTATTTTGTGTGGAGGTAGTATTTATTTACCCTATTCATATTATAACCGTGTTATCGGCTATTTTGTGTGGAGGTTAAATTTATTTACCCTATTCATATTATAACCGTGTTATCGGCTATTTTGTGTGGAGGTTACATTTATTTACCTGACTCGTATTATAACCTTGTTATCGGCTATTTTGTGTGGAGGTAGTATTTATTTACCCTATTCATATTATAACCGTGTTATCGGCTATTTTGTGTGTAGGTAGTATTTATTTACCCTATTCATATTATAACCGTGTTATCGGCTATTTTGTGTGGAAATTTAAACCCTATTATATTTATAACCGTGTTATCGGCTATTTTGTGTGGAGGTTAATTTATTTACCCATTCATAAGTATAGGCCTATTTTGTGGATTTCTATATAACTGTATTCATATTATAATTTATATATGTTGGTATTTATCATGTTTTGCTGAAATGGTTTGCACGGCAGAAAACACAAGTTCTACAAATATTTGTCTTGGTCGAAATTCCCACCCATTCATAAGTATAGGCCTGTTGTTGTGTCATTTCTATATAACTGTATTGGTAATTTATATATGTTGAGGAAACGACACTTCTACAAATATTTGTCTTGAGATAATAAATCCTTCAAATGGCAACCCTAGACGACATCCCATAATATACTGAGAATCTATATGTTTGTTTGTTTTGTTTGTTGCTGTTTTTGTTTTGTTTTTGTTTGTTTTTTTTGTTTTGTTTTTGTTTTTGTTTTTCATAATGCAAAAGAACGAGAGAATAACAGCCATGATTAAATAGCAATCAAAACTGAATTTATCAAATTAGTATGTGCAGAGAACAATTTAAAGGGTACCGATTGAAATGTATAAAGACAATGAGGACTTTCGATGTAAGTCTAAGTCAATCCATGTAATGTCGTGGTCCCAACATTTATAACAGTGTTAATAATGTAAATCCAGACGAAATATATAATTTTCTTATTGACATCTTGATATTGATAACAGAAATCCGTTCTCTCCACCATCCAGCCTCCCTCAAACCACATGCTGGATTATTTTCGTGTTTTGTGGATTTTGTACCGGGCTTTATGATTTGTCAATTTTATTAGATGATTTATGTTCCTTCTTTTCATTGGTGTAAGTCTGCAAAAGATATTTCTCTATATTTCATTGGCAAAAATGTAACAAATGGTATTTATTTTATTCGAGTTATTTTTCAAAAGTTACAAAAAGTACGAGCTACATTTTGTGTTTCTATAGCTTTTGGAAATTAACCGATAACGAGAATGAAAGAGATAGATAATACAACCGGGAATATGTGTGAATTGTTTCTACGATATGCACTTTAAAAAGTTATTCTGAAGTTGAATTGATGTGTTCTGTAACTACGTTAGTTTTGTTTACGTCATCAATTTGGGCGTAATGAGGCCTATAATTATTGATCTGTATGCAAAATTGACACATTCAGAAACACGTGGTTACAAATTAGAACTATAAATCCAGATCAAATCGAGTTGTTGCAAAAGCAATCGTGAATTTCTTATTGCGTATCTAATTTCCGTGAAAACGTGAAACATCTTGTCGGTCAAAGTTCACCCTGTCAGCCAATCAAAACATGTAAAAATACTACACCACGGGTGGTGAAACTTGCATGTTTATACAACAGCTGAAACGTTTTATTGATGTCTGGACAATTAATTAACACCTACCTAATGTTGTAAAAACACGTTCATGGTAACAAACACAATCTGACTCCCCCTTTACTGCCAAGTCTGAATTATTTAACACTCTGCAACTCTTATAATCCTGCACTCGCATTCTGTAATATTGTGTTTGTAAGGCTTTGTAGAAATCCTACATGCCTTTTTTGCCAAATCGATTATAGATATTGCTGGTTTTGGACTAACAACGTCAAAAGGCAATCGAGCGAAAGATTGTCGAAATTGTATGCTTAAAATTTGATCAATGCGTCCTAAGCTGTAACATGACATAATGCTTCTATACTCTTCATCTATGTCTGCTTCCGCGTACAAGTCTTACTTACATAGTTGTATGAGACGTACATGAAAGCCGTAATCTGACATGTACGTATGTCATCATATCCACAATCGCCTACATTTAAGATAAATATATTTACCTGTGTCAGTGACACAGATGTGGCTTACACATTGTCAGAAATTGATGACACAATACCACAACACAGATGAGGAATTCATATGAAATCATGTGTGGTAATGTAGTGGATTTGTCCCAGTTAATCTACAGGGCCAAAATCACCTGAGGAGATAAACAAATGGAGCCTAACTCAATAGACCGACCTTTATATACAGGTAAAAAACGGTCGTACGGTGGAGTTACAGGCTTCACGGATACCTGGAAGGAAACTGCTGCCGTCGACAATGATAGCATCTTAAAATATGAGGTCACTGGCTTTGAAGAGGTATTCATTTGTTCTTCTGTCTTTTCCTTTATACCTAGGTGATTTGAAACGCTTGTCAACCGATAAAAACGAGGAACACGCAAGTAAACATGATAAGATATACCGAAGTAGTTACTGTCTGTCCTGACATGGCCAAAAGCAACTATCGGGACAAAATGATGATACAGATTACAAGTAAACCATACCACACATATGTAAAAAAAACCGAGGTGCACTGAATGAAACTGATAACACGTGATTACAAGTCCGTTATCCTACTACCACTTATTACAAGTCAGGTCTGATAAAGTTATTCATTATAAACAATGTAATCGTGCATACTCTGATCTCTTCATCGATTGTACTTTAATATGTCAAACTCTCGTATGTTTTCAGCTTTGAATTTGACTTCATAAAATTTCGAATTAGTACAAAAATAGCAAAGCCTAATTAAACAATAGACCAGTGGTTCACTGGGACCTTTAATATACATAAATATAACATACATCCTTAATGCTTTTTTTACAAAAAGATGCATGAGTGAATGGCAAACTTTGTTACAAGTTTATATGAGTTACAGTAGAGCCAAAAATTAATTAAACAGCATTATACGACTGAAATTTAAAGAATGGCAGTTTTTATAGCCTGGCCTGTATAATAATACTTGTAGGTCTAACACTGGAACATGACGATGCATAACACCTTAAGTTTATCAGTGTACTATATAAATATATATATAAAATATACAAAGTATCGTCGTATACATACTAATATATCGAAGAAATACCGTTTGTTGAAGAACGATTACTAAGTTCAAGGATTTAAAAAGTATCTTTTGATCAATTTTATAAGATAACATTTACGTTGATTACCGTTAGGCAAAACTGCATGGCAATATTTACACTAACGTAAAACACAGAAAATCTCAGAAGGCTTTCGTTAAAACTCTAGTTAATTGTTGTAAATGCTATTATATTAAAACTGACAACAAATTGCATTGACTAAACAATTTTTTGTTATTTTCTGTATCATGATCATATTTATACATGATACGTCACTGTTTAATCAGTGTATTTGTATGTAAATATTCTGGGATGTAGGCTGTCTTTTTCTTTGTTTCAGTTAACTGAATACTCGTACAGCCTTACCTGTAGAAAAGTCCATTAAATAACTCTACCGAAATATCATTATTACATTTTAATGTACAGTATATTTCTTGTAATCGGAATTTACATGACATATTGTATCCATGTTATATATTAATCCTGGATTCATATTGCACTTTGACCTTGTAAATTTGATCAACTAAGCGTTGACAGGAATTCGCACCATAGATAGACTTTGCATCGGTTCGTTCAAATGCTGGGAAAGTATTTGTTTTTTTTTTTTTTTTTTTCTATTGGATCAGAAAATAACTTTTAAACAAAAATCTATTCACTATATTCGAAAATTCTATGAGGTGAAGGACGTTTTGCCGGAACCACATCTCCCGTCTTAATATGCGTAAAATCGATATGTTCGTGTTTTGTTAACGTGATTTACCGTAATCCTCTGTATGTCCTTACATCTAACCTTTGTCTGACCTTTGGTATCACCTGTGCATGTATATCTATTTACAATTACATTGCATTGCTACGTTGTACTCTTACCAAATGCAATGCCTTGTTATTAGCTCATGAACTGCAAACGGTATCGGGAGTTCTGAAAAAATACCTTCCATTATAGATTAATAAAAGTTGAAAATGCTACATATTAGTTTTGCCGTGTTTTTGTTTGCGTACATGTGCATTATGGATGGATACGGCAAACTTGACATGTCACATTACCCCGCTGATCTTCATATGACTTGTTAGCATTCATATATCTATGAATGCCAATAGAAAACAGTTCAATGTTTTAATACATTATGAGAGAAAAATAATAGAAACGTTACAAATTTTCTGTTTTGTTGATTTATTAGAATGATGACGTGTTACAAATGGACAAAGAGAAAGACTTCCACGATGACGTTAATGAGGAAGACACAGGATGTCCACGATACGTGGGGGCCCTTCAGAATAATCTACATGACTTCTACACAGATCATAAAAAGACCATACACTTTATATTCTATACTGTATTGGTAATGCTGTACTTGGCCTACTTTTCCTATGCAATGTACTTCCGGTTTGGTGACGAGGGATCTGTGCGCCTTCTCGTCATCACCATTCTAGTGGCAGTGGGGGTGCCTGTTAAAATAACGTTAGGAATCTATGGAAATCAAATTGCCGCAATTCTGCGACGATCATTGAATTCAACATTGAGAACCAAGATTTCAAGAAAGTGAGTGAAAGAAGTTGAATAAGGTTAAGAATTCCTCAAAAGACAGTGTCTAAACACACCGTATGCAATATACTCAATGCTTTAATGCATTGTTACATTGCAAATGTCGGTTGTTTTGTTTATATCTAAATAATATTGATATGATTCTAGATATACGTTTATGTTTTACGATACTTTAATCAAGTAAGACAATGGTATACAATATTCTAAGAATGTTATCCGTGCCTTGGTCGCCTTACGAATTATATGCAGAATATTGTTTCTTATAATCTACTTAGGTCAGTTTATCATTGCGATAATGAGTAGGAGTAATTTCACAGGAACAACAGGGTGAATAAAATAGCATACAAATGATTAAGGTTTTATTTGAACATGAAGCAAGATTCTTATAAAATGTTGATAACTGGTGTGTAAATACGAACTTAAGTCAATGTTTCCCTTGTATTTCAGTATCAATGTATTCCTATCAATTGGACTTTCCATTTTTGTCTTTGTGTACGTCATAGTGGAGATTGCACTGAAAACACCCCGAAATATGATCTCCGCGGGGGGTCTTGCAACCCTTATTCTCCTTTTTTATGTGTTTTCCGTCAACCCTGCTAAGGTACGTGCAGTTTTCTCAGCTTGTCGAGTAAATATGGAATTACGAATCTCATTTAATATTTCGTCTTGTGTTTAAACTTTGGCGAAGTAATGGCTCGTCTATTAATTTATGTAAAATGACACTCTACATTTTGATTAAAGTAAAGTGGCGTCTCGCGTTTTAATAAAGGTGAAGTGGCGAGCAATTTACCAAAGTATTTAATTGTTCAAATTATTTAAAAATAATTCATCTTGGTAAGTGAAGCCGAAACCCGTGTTATGTTTCAGGTAAAGTGGCGACCTGTGTTCTGGGGTCTCATGCTCCAGTTTCTGTTTGCACTCATCATTTTGAGGTGGCAGGGCGGATATGAAATGTTCGAATGGATCGGTAACCGTTTTCAGGAGTTCATCAAGTACACGGATAAAGGATCCGAATTTGTGTTCGGGGAAAATTACACTGATCATTTCTTCGCATTTTCGGTAAGATTACATTGAATTGGTAGCAAATTGTAAGAAGTGGTCTGAAAATAAAACTTTTTTTTTCATTACCATAAGAAATCACCCTTCATTCTCCTGCACCAAAATAGCTGTTTTGTTAGAGCATAGAAACAGATAGTTTGTTTAGCTTTATTTTGCTTTAAAATTAATTAGTCGAGCAGTAAAATCCTGTAGTATGATTGCATGATCAAGCACAAAATACAGTGAAACCTCGGGAAACATCTAATTTCAAAACTTGTTATTGCAAAGAGGTAAAGAAGATGTGACGATTATAAATGTATACATTACAGTTATAATTTCAAAAATAGTCTGTATTTATAGCATTAACTATTTATCCACAGGTTTTGCCTGTCATTGTTTTCTTTAGTACATCAGTCTATGTTCTGTACTATCTCGGCGTCATGCAATTCATCATTCGGAACATCGCACGTTTTTTGGCGTATGCTTTAGGTACTTCTCCCACTGAATCATTGAATGCGGCAGGAAACATTTTCCTTGGTCAGGTAAGAAGTACAGGTTACATTGATATTTTATGCTCTTAAACAATCATTTCTATTGGCCCCTATCACCAAAACTTCGACATCATTTTGTAACGTTGCGTTTGATTGGCTAATGCGATGGTATATCGAGGAATAGAGTTCAGCATCAAATACAAAAGTATTTCGATCTTTGCAACGTGATGGCGTACTCTTGTTATCAATATTTAGAATGCACTCCTTTTGTATGTTTGTGTTATTGCTCCATAACATAATAAATAATCAACATTGAAGCTTAATTAAATGAAAGTTGAAGATTGAACGACATACAAGTCAACGCCTTTTAATACAAAATTAGAGTTTGATACAGTAAAGCCAAACAATTAATTAAACCACGCCATACACCTGTTTCGTTCTTCTAGGACTCTTCACTTGCATTATTACTATGATAAAAGGTTTTATGGTAATATGTTCTTGGTAGGTCTGTAATCAAATATAGTAAACTGCCCGCAATATTATCTATGTATTTCCAATTGCTTGTTTGGTGTTTTGAATTAAATCTTGGTGATGATTTGCTGTAGAGTGAGGCGCCGTTACTGATTCGACCTTTTCTGTCCAAGTTGACGAAGTCTGAACTTCACGCTGTTTGTACGGGAGGGTTCGCTACAATAGCCGGAAGTGTCATGGCCGCTTATATTCTTTACGGTGTCAGTATGATTGTTTGATTCAATTACGCATTCTCAAAATTAGCTGTAATTATTCATTCTGAATGAATAACATGGTAGGTCCAGATCTCAAAGCATTGGTCAGGTCAATGAAATGTAGTGTTTCTAATCTGTATACACTGCCTATAAAGCGTGTTTAAACAAAAATATCCAAAACAATATTCCATTAACGTTTCATGTCAGTTTGACGTAAGTGTAAACTAGTAGACTCAGCCGGCACCATCGTTATTACAGATTCCGGCCAATCACTTGTTGTCTGCCTCCGTCATGTCTGCACCAGCGGCGCTTGCAATGTCCAAGCTCTTCTACCCCGAGACAGAGGAGTCCCAGATTAACTCCAATGATGTATACAAAATGTCTAAAGGGTCTGTGATGATTATACTTTAATGCATTTGATAAAAATAACGCAAATCAGGTGTATTTTATTGTCTGTAGTCATGTCATAATATAAACTTATAAGTAAGCACGTGCTTGTTGTTCGGATTATACCGCACGATTAGTTTGTAAGTTTTCCTTTAAGTTAAAATTCACACTTTTCGTCCTGGCTAATAATTCTTTATAAGAGCAAGAAAATGTGAAAAACATTTGTAAAGTACGGTAAGCAATATTCAGTATGAAGCACTAAATGAAACCTTGTTTTTTTTTTCTGCAGACCAGAGCGAAACATTATAGAGGCAGCTTCATCGGGTGCATCACAATCAATAAAACTGGTTGCAAACGTTGCGGTGAATCTGATTGCATTCGTTTCACTTTTAGAATTTGTCAATGCCACGCTTAAATGGTTTGGCAATAGAGTAGGGATGGAACCACCGGAGGACGAACTTACGTTTGAGGTAAGAGAAAATTAAATTATTAATAAAAAGATCCCAACATGAAATAAGATGATGTTCCAAAACGTTCAGGGAATATTGTTTTGAATGCCAGATTATTGAACTTTGAGAAAATGACGATTGCGTTTTCAAGCTACGTGAGACAATGCTACAATGTGTTTAAAAACCTTAAAGAGACTAACAGTTTTTATAAAAGAAATAGGGAGGTCAGATGTAAACTGACATCAAATTACCTATCTAAAAACATCGTCGAGGCGGTAATTTAAGGATTTGTACAAATATATATTTCTATTTGTTTTCTGTTCTTATATTTGTAGTTAATATGTTCTTACGTCTTCTGGCCACTGGCTTTTCTGATGGGTGTTAACTCTGGTGATTGCCCGAAAGTGGCCGAACTGATCGGTATTAAAACGTTTATAAACGAGTTTGTGGCTTACACCAGTCTCTCCAAATACATCAAGAACGCTCAGAATCTCAGTTGGTATGAGGGCTTGGCACACAGCAACACATCCAACATTTCCGGTGTGTTTAATTCCACATGGCGATACGTCAATGGAGACATTGTGTATGATGACCTGAACATAACATTGGTTGGAGGAATACTTGCTGTAAGTATCTGTCACAGAACTTGGTTATCAAAGTTTCATTCGAAACTTTCGAAGAAGACATGTCGTTTTTTTCTTTACTTTAATTAATTTTTGGTTTAAGTATCGGAGTATAAATCTAGAGATCGGTGTCTTTACTAACCCAGTGTTGTTGTGGTAACTTTGGATATTACACGAGTTTTCAGGGACTCAAAGATTGTACAAAAGACACACAAGTGAATAACGCCTTTTCATAATCTTGAGTTAGATGCAGAGGAGCCAAACAGTGAGTTAAACTGCATCACACAGCTGTTTTGTCCTTCTAGGACTCCTCAGTGATGCTAAGGGTCTAAATCGTGAAGCCTAGGAGGCGATTAAGGAAAGTCAGAGTGATCAGAAGAAAAGTTCAAATATAGACAGGGAGGTGCAGCAGCCCCATAATCAAAAAACATTTTGCAATTGAAATTAGAAATTGTCAAAATAATATTAGATAACAAAAGTAATCATAATCCAAACTTTAATAAATATAGGGCAAAAATGAGCGAGGGAAACATGTGGAAGGTATTAAAATAATATTAAGAAATTGATCTACATGATTATGCATATGATAGAGACGTGAGAATAGTTTATAGATTTATGACTATTTACGTCTTGTAACTTACTCTAAGGTGATTTATCAAACAGGAGAGATCCGTCGTTATTTCAACGTATGCCCTGTGTGGTTTCTCCAACATCTCTTCCATCGGCATCATGTTGGGTGCCCTTGGCGCCATGGCACCCTCTCGGAAAAGTGACCTGTCACAAGTTGTTTTCAGAGCAATGATTGCTGGAAACGTAGCTTGTTTCATGACTGCCTGCATCGCTGGTAAGTACATTTTTTTATCCGTTCTCTTATTTCAAAACACTGAACGAACACTATTGATCAATTGGTCTAATCAATATGTAACGAAAGGATTTGTTTGTCAGCTGTCAGATAGAACCTGTAAAATAGTTGTTTGAAGAAAGCATGAATCCTACTTTGGTCGAAAATTGTTCAGGTTTTTGTTTAATATCATCCGAAGTATGATATTGTTTCCTTCCGACGAATGATTCCAAACCATAAATCATGTATCATGAAGTATTAAACATTAAAAAAACGATATTACAAGTACACATCTGACCTACTGCTGGTTTTGTTGAAACTGACCTTTCCCTGTTTATGGCTTTATGATTTGGTTGGTGTTGTAGGTTTGTTGTATGAAGGAGAACTGTGATATCTTGGCCTAACCTGTTCATTTCGGTACCTCCTTGCCAATACGTGTAGTTTTAGGAAGCCAATAATATCCAGAACTGAAGTACTGTGTTTATGTGCTCGAGTGTGTACAGAAATTATGCTGCAGATTCAAGGTGTATTCCAAGGTGGTGTACATGTAAGTCTGTTATTTGACGACCCAAGACAATTACTGAGGCTTATTATGTGCCTTTTATACATTTGTAGCTCGCTCATCTGGTCAGAAGGAACAGTGAGTTTAGGTAAACCGCAGCCTCCGTCGTCAATTAACGTTCTTCCTACGAATTGCTACTAGTCATAAATTACTATGCGAATTTTAACTAAATTTTAGTAAAAAACATTCTTGAGGAAGTGGAACAAATTTGTATAAATGATTCATCTCGGACCCAAGGGGTCTGACTGTTGGGTCCCAAAATAAGAAGTTTCAAAGAAAAAAATTAATTTTGCTCAAGTATTGTCTGAAGTCATTAAGAGTTAAATGGGAATTAATTTCGTAAAAACATTTGGTATCGGCCTTTGGGACGGGAAGATGGGGGCTCAAAAGGGAAATACGTGTAGATCAATTTCTTTAAAATCCAACTTATCCTGAAGAAATAACAGGCTTTGTCCGAAAATTTGGTCTGAGGTCTTCTTGAGTGAAGGGTGATCAATTTCATATAAACGGTGGGTCTCATCCCCCTGGAGTTGGCGGGGCGGGGTTAAATAGGGGAAATAGAGCAAATATTTCAAATTCTGCTCCTCCTGAAGGAATACCTGGATTCTAGTCTAAAGCATGCTTAGGCGAACGAAGATCAATTTTATATTAACAGCTGGGTTGCTCTAGGCGCCTTAGTGCGGGAGGACTTGAGCCCAGTAGGTAAAGTTTAGAATACCTGAATGTTGTCCCAATTTTTTGTCAGAAGCATGCTTGGATGAACGCGATCAACTGGAAAAAACTAGTTAGTCTCGGCGGGGCCAAATAGTGGATCTAGAGCATTTTTTTTCCTAAAATCCTTCTTCTGTTGGATTGACTCATTTTTGTCAAGTTTGATGTGAAGCATTGTTGGGTGAAGAGTTTTTACTTTCGTATCAACAGTATATCGAATTCCTTTAGAACAGAAAAGCGAGGCCTGAAATAGAAGTGTTTTAAGTCATGTTTCAACGATTAAAACAGGTGAGCGATACAGGCCCTATTGGCCCTATTAGCCTTTCGCTTTTATTTTGGACACAACGAATGCTTATGGTAGAATGGTAGAATGCTTATTATGTAAAATGCAAACATACAATTTTTGCGATGGAAAAAGAGCAAATACAATCTAGCTTAAATGTTTTTAATGTTCTTGAAAGACGAGTTAGATTAACATGACATTTTTGGTTAGTCAAGGATAATTTGATACAATACAACATCGTATAACCACGATATAGTGTTTACATAACTTTCTCATTTGCAGTTCTGGCCCGAATAAAATTAGTAATACATTGATACATATATATACAAGTATCGATAATGTAAATGACCCCAATAAATCAATGGTACTGGCGTTATGAATGAAGAGGAAGGTAAACAATATTTCTGAAATGATGTCCAAAAACGGCACTAATTTTTCAAAACGAGTTGATTAGGGAAAAAAAGCAACAAATGTCCCTATGTGACGGTTTATCAGGATTTCACTGTCGCAAATAACTGTATTAAAGTTATTCATACGCATCGTTAGTATAATGCAATTTGCGACAGTAAAATAAAAAAAAAATGACATAAGAAAAAACTGTCCTGACATTAAAAAAAAAAGAATGAAAACAAAATTTCATTGTTCAAATCCAAGATGGCAAATTGTCGGTCCACATTTTCTGGTCAATCCCAGAATTGTAGGCGCACAACAATTGGTCAGTGTGATCATACGTAATAAGCTTAAGATCTACATTGCATGCAGTACATTGTTTGAAATAACAACATTGTTATCTTAATTCCAACCAAGATTCGATGATACCAAGGGAAAATGTACAAAACAACGATTTTTTTCTCGAAAACTCCTGCAATAGTGAAAAGGATGATAAGACAATGTGTTCTGGAAGATTAAGCGTCTTAAGCTTCATCGATATACATTCGCAAATTTCAAAACACAACAGGGCGATCATTCCCAAATCAGTAGAGTAGTTTTCTTTCCTGTTTTTAGCTCTATTCTCATTTTAAAAGTGTACTTTGTAGTCAATTTGCATATTTTACTTTACTTTCTTGTCATTTATATTTTGCTTTCATTTATAATCGTCAATGCTCTTCTGTACATTTCTTTCTATTAAACAATTTTTTATTTCCTAAAGGTAACATGATTATTGCAGCAAAACAACAAGGAATAAAAAAGAAAACATCTTAAATATTACCACGTTTCATTAAAGTGTGGTTTATATTCTTAGATAAGTAAACCAAGTTGTATTATTTAGCTATTTCTAGTGGTATATTTAAAGGACGTTTCGATGCTCAGTCCTTGTGTTTCACAACACGTCGGAGGCGTTAACTGCTTATAGTAGTTTTTTTCAAGTCATGTGTTTTACATGTTCCTGTACAATCTAATATGACATAAACAAGTATTATCCCTTTTGCTTGTCTTATAATTGAATGACAGTGTCATATGTTATTGCATGTTTATGTAATGATATATTTAATTTTTTTTCTGTAAAATTATTTCAATAAATTACATTTTAGTTTGCTTATGTTATTGTCTATCATGTGTGCTGTTAAGCTAATGACAAATAAACGACTTTTCATTTGTATTTCTTCGTACACTTTTGTCTAAAATATTCACAGAAGTTAGCGATATCAAAGAAGTTTTGTTGATATGATAGTAATACACCTTTGTACCGAGGTTCATGTTGATAATTATAAAACTTGTTTGATCAGGAGGTATACATTTTCCGCGATCGCCGACAGTACAAGTGTGTACTTATATCACGCTTAAATCAATTTGAAAAATCAATTACATGAAAGAGTTCATCCAATAATTAAATTATAATTGTATATATAACACAAAAACGTCTCTGGTTTAATATTCCTTTTAACACAATATTATGCACAAACCATGTAATTGCAATCTCCGTGAGTTTTCTTTCATGTCCCGTTATCACATTCTGCGTGGGACACTAGACATAAACTGAGGACCCAGTTATATTTTACAAGCTATTGGTATGCGGAACACGAAATGTAGGCAAGTGTACTTTGTCAAAGAGTAACGATCTTTCACTACACGTTTTGAGTCATCAAACACACAAGAGAAACATGGCTTCTGCGTTGTAATGTCCTACATGATAGCTAATAAAACGAATCCTGTTATAGTGGAAAATTTAAGTGTAACTTATTGGAGACAAAAAATAACGTCTTGTACGTCAGGCTAACAAAAACGGGCCTAACACTCTAAACCAAGTCTTATTTCATCCTAAATTGATTAATCATAAACATTTTCAGTGTTGACATCCTCTTGAAGATGTTTTGTAGTGTTTTTCAAATGTTATAATTACGCTTAAAATTGTATCGTGAGCGATTTATTTAGAAATCTTGAGTTGTCTTAACAAGCAAAATGAAATCATTTTGAATACTCATTTAACAGTATATTAAACATAAAAACATATATTGATTCTACTTCCATATTTCCTGTCTTTTCTCTAGAGTTCTACATATCTTTTTCTCTTTTGTCATCAGATTTGGTAATAAATGAACTATAAGTAATGTATAAATATATAAGTGATTTAACTTTAAGTTATAGTCTTTTCCTAGAGATCTATTATTGAAAGAATTCACTTAGGAAAAAAGGGAGGAAATCTAAACAGCAATCCACATAGTGTTCAGGGTACAATATGAAGAAGATGGGATATGTTATTGCAAAAATGGAAAACAAGGTTTACACGGAGTTTATTCAACAGAACAAAAATTTAATTCAACTCTATGTTGTGAAGCATACAACATTTTTTTCTATTTTGTTTGTCAAACCAGAGAACTCTGAGACGAAATCTATTTGACATTTAATAACGCCCTTAAGTATGTTTATTTACAATAATAAAGTGTGTCTTTTCAAACAATAGTTACAATGTTTTACAATGTTGTTGACAATATAAATAAGACAATATTAGATTTTCCTACGGATGGTAATTGTAAAGCATGGCCTAGATCGATAGAACGATAGAAATGATCTTAATCCAGGTATGAAAATGGACATGCATTTTCATTAACATTCGAAACAAAAATGAAGAATTTACTATCAGAATAGACGTTTGAATTTTCATTTTTTAATCAAATGCAAAAGATGCAAAAAATGGTATCTTATATATATAATACGTATATGGTTATCGCTTGACGTCATGCTTATAAATATTAAATGTTATACTGCATGGCGGCAAAAACGCGATCCTTCACAATTTCTTGTATCGCATCATTAGAGATATGTTCTGAGAGACATATATGTAAAATGTTAACTTGTTATGACGATAGGTCATGCTCTACCTACCAGGAGAATTAATAATGCATGATGCATGATTTTTCACTTTGTAATTTCTTAAACCTCACAATGCAGTCCCATGGCATCACTGAGGAGTCCTAAAAAGACGAAACGGTTATGTGATGCAGTTTACTTTATTGTCTGCCTCTACTGTATCTAAATCCTAATTTGTTTTGAACGGTGTTATTCACTTGTGTGTCTTTTGAACAATCTCCGTTTTCTTATTTTAACACGGGAACTACAGAGACAATAAGGAATCCCACCCTGTCATTGGCTTTTCAAACGACATTGTTTCTTGGTATCGAGATCACATCGTGTGAACATAACAATTCACTAAGGGTTCCAGAGCAATATCAATTTGGACATAGTAACTTTCCATAAACGACTCTATTCAATCACATAGGAACTGATTAAAATATGATCTGCCTTGTAATTTTGATCCTTTTAAAATACACTTCCGGCACCCCATGTGGAGATACGAATCCGTCAACACTGAATTTTACCCGAGGAATATTCCTACCAGAATCATTTCATGTACAATCCCTCCCTTCTTTTCACGCGTGTGCCGTTTTGTGTATACACTTCAACCTGTGTAAGTCGACCAACTTCGACGTAGTGACAGGGAAATGCTATCTACATCAACACAGCGCCATCACGGACCCATCCATTGATGTCAGTGTCAAGGACACCATGTATTATGTTGATTCTATGGACGTTCCAAAGGCAAGTTGAATGTCGTAAAAACTCGAATTTAAGAGGCGGCTGATTTTCTTTAATTTGTATAAACATGCAATTTTATTTGCATTTGTTTGCATATACAGCATCTTATTGAATGAAAGGTTATTTTCATTTTCGTAGCAAATATATCACTAATACATGAACTTGGTATAAAAAAAACCTTACATGAATCAATCAGAAATATACTCTTGTTTTAAAGAGATTTATTTTAAGACGATTTTCGTCATATTTCGGATTGAAGCTGATATACAATAAAGTAAAGAACTGCAGTCGTAGATGGCTTAACCGTGTATATTGTTTTATAGATTTAAAAAAAAAATATAAATTATTTGTCAAAAGAAACTCGCACGAAAAATATTTATAGTAATGCTATTAAACTCAGCCCTACACAGAGATAAAGGCAGTTTTTTAATCCCTCTGTGTAATACATCTCTGCAAAGAGACACATTAATTGTGATTTTCGTTATAGCCAATGATCAAATGAACAGCAATTAATTAACAGGGAAATATCACTACAATATTAATACTGATCCTAATGTTTTTTATCATTCATTAACTGATCTCAATGATGAGGAGTATTAGGTAACATATTCTTAAATTGTGGAATATTCAGTAACAGATCCTAATATTGGGGAGTATTATGATGTATATCCTTAAAATGGATTATTAAGTGACTGATAATAATTTTGTGGAGTATTATGTTACAAATCCTTAAATTAGGGAATTTTCTGTGACTGATCCTAATGTTGTGGACTATAAGGAAATATATCCATAACTATGAGAATATTATGTGACTGATCCTAATGTTGTTGAGTAATCTGTCACATATCCTTAAATTAGGTTACATTCATTGACTGATCCTAATGTTGCGGGATATTCATTGAATGATTATAATATTCGAGGATTCA